GAAAGGAGTCGATAGCTGGTCTTGTCTTTTATTTTCCATTTTGATCCCTGCTGTGGTTTCTACGTCCTGTGTGTAGTTTTTATCTTCGTGTCCGAATGTTACAGAAAAAAGGGTGGTTTTTCTCTCACTAGTTAGCTGTATACAGTTCACTTTGTCATTCGAGGAAAGGTAATGTGTATCAGTCTATGTGTATATATAAATATATGTAATCAACTCACCATTGTTTAGTAGGTGTTCTGTGGCCAAGATATTCATTTGAAGCTGGTATCCTTTGTTTTATTTTTGTTATCGTTATTACTATTAAGATAAGATTATAGCAATCACATCACAGGCAACATTTTCCTATATATTAAAGCAATTTTGTTGCTTACGGTCAAATTTGTAGCTGCTGGACTTACGGTACAGATAATTGAAGATGATGAGATATTGGTTTACTACCAAGTGGGGGAAAAAAAAAAAAGAAAGAAAGAAACATGAATCATGGTGACCCATAATTTAGCCGCACTGTCCTCTCTCTTGACAGCATCCTACTGTGATGATGTCAAAGGTGAAAAATTGCCTCTTTATTTTCGACAAAAGCTCATCCATTTTGTAGAGAGTGAAATGAAATGAGAAGGTAAGAGTAAGAGAAAGAGGGGAAAATGAGAGGATTTTGTGATAATTAAAAAAAGATGTGGAAAGTCTTTCCAGCTGTGATTTACATTGCAGTTTCCTGTTGAGATTCGGTCAGAATCATTGAAATCCCTGGCAGTGCATGTTTGAACGTACACTATGTGCAGTTATGTTGTGTAGTTTTTTAACTTGGCATTTGAATAAATGTCGTTTTCTAGAGTCACGGATTTGAGTTTCTGTTTATATAGGAATGGACATGTTGGCATGTTTATTAATTTTCACTGGTTACAGTGCTCACGGTCACGGACAATGTGTTGCTTTATTTAAGTAGTAATGGGCCTCCAAAGTGGATACTTAATATGCGCCAAAGCAATGACCTGTGCGCCCTGGACCACTGACAAGTTTAAGCATCACCTGCATCAATACATCAATTTGGTAATTTAGCAACGTTATAGATTAAATGCGAGACACGAACGGTATATTTTATATTTCATAAATTAATAGCCATTTTGAAAATTTGAAAAGAAAATCTGATGCAATTAATTGTATTTCTTTGTGCAGGTTTATTTTTTTACGTAATGCCAAACAGAAGAAGTAAAAATGTTGCTTTTGAGCTTTCACATAATGTAACTGAAATTCATGCACCATCCTGTTAAGAAAAAAATGACATATAGAGGATCAATTAATTTAAAATAAATTTTAAAATGTTAAACTTTAAAAATTTATAAGTTTTGTTCTCAATTTTTCAAATTCATTGTGATGAATTTATAATTTATATTTTTAATTTTAATAAAAAAATAAATTTATTTATTATTCAATCATGTTAAAATTTTAAAAATAAGTTATAAATTTATTACAATAAAATTATAAAATTGAAAGTCAAACTTATAAATTCTTGAAGTTTGACACTTTAAAATTTAATTTGAATTAATTGATCCTTTAAACTAATATGTCATTCTCCTTTCTTTTAACATGTAATTACTCTCTTTTGTTATAAAAAAATGCATATTTTTTTTTGGTAAAAAGTGCGTATGACGATTTTTTTTTTTAAAAAAAAGAAACTGGATCCTTAAATATTCATCTAATTTGCGTCTTGGTCCCTTTGTTTTAATTAGCATTAACATGATTCCACTAATTTCATAACGTCAAATAAATGGTCTCTACGAGTTTCTATAATTCACAACAAAAATTTAAAAAACAATACCAAATTCAGAAGAAACAACAAATTCAATTATTAGAGATAACGAAAGCAAAATCTAATATTAGTAGCAAATTCAATTCAGCTCAAATGCTCACTCGATTTCCAAAGTACGAGGACAATTTATTTGACTTTATGAAATCAGAGGAGCCGTATTGATACCAATAAAAATGTGGGTCGAAATTGCAAGTCGCATGTAATTACTGTGAGAACCAAGAGTTGTGTTTCCTTTTCTTTCCCTTTAATTTAATGAATAAAAATATGTATGGTAAAGGGAAAGAGCATTCTGAAACAAGTGCTGAGAGAATGAAGGAAGAATTGTGATACTTGCGAGATGATTGGTTTGAAGCCTAACCCTTTGGTGTGGGAGTGATGGCTGAAGGTGAAGACGATGATGAAGTGAGGAAGAAGATGGCTCTTGGAAGAAGTAAAGGGGCAGGGGACATTCTTGTGTGTGGTGCTTCCACTTCCCACGTACACATATTTTGTGCAACCAAAGAGACGCTGATGTCATGCCTCAATTCCTGTCCCTTGTCCCTTTCCCACTTCACTCTTCAAGATTCCATCTATCTATCCTCCATGCATTTTCACTTTCACATTAAGCTAAATCAATATCTATTATGATACTAATCTAGACATAATCACATGTGAAGATATTCAAACATTTTGAATGGTGTCGTGTGTATAATGTGTTTACATGTCTTCTTATGATTAGTTTCATTAATTATTTCACTAATAGAGTCTTTATAAGCATTTGTTGAATTTTTTCTGTAACTGACCAATCACCAGTATTGCAGACAGCATTAGGCTCATCCCGAATCATTGCAGCTTTTGCTTTCAGTAAATAATATTTTTATTCGTTTTTTAGTATTGCTATATAATTTTGCCATATTCCAAATTTGTAAGTCGAATTGCGGGTGGCTGTTTTTAAAGCATTTTCTGCGGACTTGAACTCAAAAATTCGTGTTTAAACGATTATAATCCCATTCACTAGAATCATTTAATAATTTTCTTATTTAATATCAACCAGTTTTTAAAAGTCAAGTTGGCCCAATTAATTTGATTTGAATTGAGTTTACAATTTTTTTCTTATTTAAAAGCATTTTCTGCGGACTGTTGTTTGTTTTTGGTTGATCAGACCACTGTTGCTGGATGCTTTATTGTTCTTTAACCAACAGATGCTTTACTGTTTCAAGTATTTTAAAAAAAGCTGAAGTTATTTATATATATTTCTATTTAAAGTTCTTACTTATTAGGTTTACATTTATCTTTACCGTAAATTTCTTAAAAACACGAATAAATACTATCTTTTCACAAATACCAAATTGACAAATCTCAAATTTCACAAATTTCTTTGATTCTTATCATCGCAAATCAGTGACAATCTAGAAAAATAAATTGGTGGGGTATAATTTATATTTAAAATAAATATTAATATTTTTCTAAAAATAATTCTAAATATTTATTGATATAACATGATAAAATTAAATTGTAAAGAGAATGCATAAAATAAAAAATATAATAAAATAAAAAATTACTTTTTGACGGGATAAATTTTTTAGTCTTTTAGATCATATATTGTTATATGGGAGAAATGAATTTTGGTAAGGGGACAAGTGAATTTTCTAAAATGATGGGGCAAATGAAATTTTTTAATGGGGACATATAAAAATTTTGTGGTCTTATTTTATACAATATTTTCTTGGCTTGTGGGAGCAAATTGCCCCCATAAGCCTTAACGTTGGCCCGTCCCTATGGCAAATATATTTTCCAATCTAATATGTATTCGTGACGTTTTGGTTCCTAATTTGAAATACTTCCCAGTAAACAACATATAAATTTGACCATATTATTATTTAAAAAAAAAATACATGGTCATTGGAGAAATACTTGACGATAAACAACAGATAGTTCGACCTTGGACCTCAATTTTCAAGGTCACAACAACCGTCCTAACAAATTCTAGTCGTTCTGTTTATCAACAATGCTGGTGCCCGAGTTATTTTTTTTACAGCATTATGCAGCCTCTCAATTTCAAAATAATACTATTTTTTGAAACTATCATTTTAACAATATTATTATCATTTTTAAATAATTATATGATATTGGTAGGGACCCCCACGGCCCAAAAAAAAAAAAAAAAAGAACGAGAAGAGCCCAAAGAAGCGAGTAGTGAAAATCTACAACATCTTAACACTATCAACCGAGCATAAAAGATTTTCTTTCCGATTCTATTCACAAGGGAGAGACTAAATGACTCTTTTGGCCTGATTATATTTATAAGTGATAATGTCAATTTTTTATTCTAAGTTTTTCGGACCTTTTATTAAATGTTGGTTAGAAGCTTATGTCATTAAAACATGTGCATTCTTTCAGACAAAATTAATAAGTTTAAGGTAGTGTTTGGAGGTTTTTTAAGATATAATGGAATAGAATGTGATGGCTAAAAGTTTGATACCTTTATTTTAAAAAAAAATTAAAAAAGTGAAATGATTTAGGACGGCCTTCTAAGCATCATTAGCCATCTTAATTTTTTTTTTTTAGTCAAGACTCTAGCCATCAATTTAGGGGGTAAAGGATACCTCCTGAGTGGTGTCACGGCACCCATACCTCTTTTATCATTGAGTGATCATTTAGAGACTTTACTAGTGATCCAGGCTATTTCTCTCTTGACGATGAAGCTTATCTCTCATTGTCTCACTGTCTGACTTCAGCCTTATTTTGAGGACATATTTAGTATTCAAAGTTTACCTCGATACATAATATAAATAATATTAGTACAAAATTATCATCATTTTTTCACTCCCTCTCACCCTAAAACTAAAAATATAATTATATTTTTTTCAAAACTATTACTTTTTATAATAATTCATAAATAATAATTAAATAAAAGTGTTCATTCATATGATAAAACTCACCAATAATGTAATGTTTCATTCTATTTCATTATGTACCACTTTATCCCATCTCATTATCTTTTTTTTATTATATACTCTCAAATCTAACCTAAAATTTTCCTTGATTAGTCTGGTAATACATTTTGAAAGTTACTTGAAGTAACCGTACTAAATTAATTTTTGTTCACCCTCAACCCCAAACTGTTCCTAAGCATATAGTGGAGTCGCTTTAACCCAATGAACCCATCCTCACCATCACCATTAATGGTAATTGTTGTTTAATATGAAAGTCATAATTTCATTCTCTCTTCTTATTTATTTTGATGATATTACATTGAAGATGACAGCAAAATTTGATCCCAGATTAAGATCGAGGCCTTATCTTTGCCACTCATAGTTAGAAAGATTTAGGAGAAAAGCATTAGGAGCTTCCTTTCCGCGCCGCACTGCGCAGCGCTACTTCCTAACGTTGACGTTTCCGATCCCTCTGACGGCGTCGCCGCTCTCCCATCTTCCTTTGCTTCGTAACTCCTTCCGCTGCCGCCGACCACCACCACTCTCTCCGGCGACCGTGAGCAGTACCGATCAACACGATCACGTGCTTGGATATTGTTCTCCAACACCAAGTCGTAACTGGGGACCTTTCTATTGAGGTTCCTTGATCCCGATCCCACATCGCCTCGTCGCTGCCGAGAAAAGTATAGAACGTGTCCGTTGTCGTCCGCCGCAGTTGGCACCGAAGATCCACCGGAGACGTCGGGGAGTGGCCCCAAGGCGCCACCGCACAGCACTCTCTGGACTCCTGATTGGCAGAGGTGCCAGTTCCCGGTCCAGAGCAGGCCCACCGCACCGTTCACCGGATTTATGGTACGTCCCACTGCTTCGTACAAAAGTGACCGAAACAAAGCTGCCATATCCACAAACACACAAACTCAGAAAATGGTACTGAAGCTCTCTATCTTCGTCCGTGTGTATGTGTAGAGAGACTAGAGGGAGAGAAAGGAAGAGGAAGGCGGCACATACCGGATCTCTGGGGGGAGGGTACGGCGGAGACGAAGGACATGAGGGCAGCGCGGCCGAAGAATTTAGCGACGAAGACGGTGGCGTGGGCTTGGGCTTGCGGGCTATCAATGCCCCAAAGGCAATCTCGGAGCATGCAGTCCTCCCCACAACCTTTTCTAAGCACACGACAACCGTTGCAGCTCATCCTCTCTCTCTCTCTCTCTATATATATATATATATCTTCTTCTTCTTCCTCCTTTTCCACTCCTAAGTGAACTTGATAAAGAAGACAGAAAGATGAAGGGAGGGTTGTTCTGGATTGCAGAAAGAATCTGAGGGATTAGGATACTATATATCTATAATGAGAAGCAAGTGATTATGGGAATGGAATATATAGAGTGAATTGCCTTCATCATCATTCCTATATAATTGTAAGCCAACCCATTAAGTAATAATTTATTATAATTTATTTATCATCATTTTTGGAACTATGGTTAATTAAGTGAAGTGGTTAGGTTGAGTAGTAATTAGTAGTACCATGTAATGTAACGGGGGTGGGGTTGGGGGGTTGGTCTCTTCCAAAGAAACTGGCGACAACAGCGGCTCAGGTTCTCCGCAAATGTTGGAATTCCTCCACCGTTGGATTCTCCGACCTTCCCATCCTCCAACATCGGATTCTCTCCTCTCATTCCCAATCTAAACCATATGCATGTTTCTCAACAGTTTTTATTATTCATGTCCAACCTTCATCAAGCTAGTCTTATTCATATCCTCTAGTATTACATTAATTGATGCCAAATTAAGTTATGTATTCTCTCCCAGCCAAGATTTGAACTTTTGTGTCCTCATATCTTAAGAGACTAACACTTAATTTTATATTAAACCCAAGCTCATTAGTTTAAATTGCGTTCGATTCACCAATACTATGTTTTTAATTATATTATAGATCGACATAGAAATTCTTAACCCAATTTGGAATATGGGATTTGCTTAGCTATATTTGCACATGCATTTGTAATTGGGATAATTATAGTAAAATTTCAAAAGAGACAATTAATCACAGTTAAAGTCCTTGACAAATTATTTTTGTAAAAAATAATTATAAATATTGATTCAGACAATTGTAAATAAAAAGCATAATTGCAAAATAACAATTACATTTAAAATTTTAATATCTCAGTCACAATTAAAACTTTTAAATTTGTAACTACATTTTAAAAAAAAAATTGTTAAGTATAACAAATAAGGTCAGCCAAAATAGAAAATATCTCTCCCCAAGTATTAAGGTAAATATGTTCAACTAAATTGCTATATACATGACAATGGATAGAAAATTTTATCGGACCTAATTATTATTAATTCTTTTATTTAGAACTTAATTGTCATTCTCCCTCTAAAATTTGCTCTGAAAGTCCGAGAAAATTGTGAGCAAATAGTCCCAAGGAAAGCAATGTTTTAAATATGCAAAAGAGAGAGATGGCTGGTTTGTGGATGGATGAGCATGATGAAAATGTGATGAAGGCATAGGCATATAGTAGAAGTTACAGACAGAAGAGGAATACAAGTAGTGGCTTGTCTATCCAAAATCAATGGACCACATTTGCATTCATATAATATATACAATTAATTTCAATTAATAGACTGATTAAAAAAAGTTGTCAGCGTATATATATATTCCCAAAAAATTAATGTGTTTGTGGAGAATGGGATTCCATTTAGGTTTAACTTTTTGAGCTCAGACTTTGTCTTCATTCATACCCTCCATTGTCGTTAAAGTCCATTTGCCATTATTTTATTTACATTCTTTATTATTAATTCCAGAACCTTCCCCTCCATTATTGTTCTCTTTTATAAAAAAGGTTTAAATTAAGTCAATACTCATTTCCCACTTATATAGCCCCATGCCCACGATATTATTAATTATTTATTTATTTTAATTTCACACAACCAATATATATCTGAATCATCCGAAGTGAAAATATTTTTAAAACATGATAGAATATAGCATATAGAGGATTCATATGTTTTTGTATTCATTCGTTCGTATCTTGTTTTTAAAAAATATTTTACAAATTTTTAATTCAAAAGATCAAAATCCGGCCTTGCCTAGTTTTACTAGCCTGAGAAAGAAGGACTACTATCATCGTCACATCCATTTTCCAAATTACAAACTTGTTCTGTCCCTTCAATGCATCAGGAAGACAAGTGGGATTTGGAACACAGAATTGGGCATCTTATATTTTTTTTTCTTTTAATGCATACATGTTTACATATACGTTACTTTTAAACTAGAAGGTTAATTACTTAAGAAAATGCAAATATATAAACTTTTAAGTTTAACTCTGACGTGAAAGTTGTTGGAAATAAAATTCAATATATTGGGCCACACATGTAAATATTAAAATTATGTAGTCATTATTTAATATTGCCTTAAATCTAAATAAAGCGATCTATTTATATTAAAGTTTTAACTTTTAAAGCTTAAGGATATAATTGTTATGGAATTAATATATAAATATCAGAGTGATATTTATAATTTACTGAGAGGCCAAATTATAAATATCATAAATTTAAATAGATAAATAGAGGTCATCCTTATTGATTTGATTGGTTAGTCAGAACATTCTCCATTTTATCACCTGAGAAATACTCAAAAAATTCTCTCAAGTAACAAATCCAAATTTCAGATATGCTCCTGATTATATGGGATTATATAGATTTGATTATTGGGTTTATATATTATATTCTTCTACTTCTTCAAATCCATCAAAAGTTACTATTTACTTTTTCTTAAAATCCAAAGAAATATAAAAGGTTTAATTAGGAAAATTCCTCAGCACTCTCTCAAATCACAACAGTAATAATCCTTTATATTGAAGCTTTGATATTAGACTTCATGCTTGTGCTCTACAACACTCTTAATTTCTTTCGATAGAAACAATGTGTGGGAGAGTACGTACGATTTGTGCAATGGCAGTGATGACCTGTATATCAATGCGCTTTATTATTAAACCCTCTTCATACATGTTTAAAAAAGTTAGCATAGTAACATTTGGTTGGGTTGCTAATTATTTATAATTTTTGAATTTTAAACACCGGTGATGTGGCACAGTTTCAAGACAAGTTATCATGACCTTGTTTTCATTAATCTGAGATTAATTAGTCACCCCACCTTGGTTATTTTGTGCTTTTCAGCCCTTTTAACGTTCATGTTAAATTATGTTTTTGTGGATTTTAAGTGAGTGATTTTGTCCTTTTTTATATATACTGTGTATTAAATACGATGCTAAAAGATAAAATTTTAAATTAAAAAAATTAAGAATTTAGTATCAAACTCTTGAGTGGTTTATATAATACTATACAAATATTCTTTAAAAAAAACTAATTCGATTTTTATAATTAATCATATTTGAGAATTCGATAAAAATGTAATTTTGGGTGTATCACCTGCAGGCCGTTACCACTGTGTGAAGCAGAAATGTTAGTTTTTGTTTGTCTGTACTCTAAATTGGAACTTGGAAGATTCAGTTTGGATTAGGCTCAAGCAAATTGTTCTGTCCCATTATCTAGCCTATAAAAACAATAATCTTAGAGAATCTACAAGTGGCTAGCTAATAATACAGAATTTAACTGGCTTTGATTCCTTGCATTCATATATCAGATTCCTATATAAATCAGACCAATGTTATGCTGAGTGCAAAATGTTCATAGGACACTCTTGCTCTAAAGATGTGGTCTTATATAGGAAAAATGAGAAGTAAAAACACTCACCTTCTAATTAAAATCAATAGCTGAGACACGTACCCTAAAGAAGAAAGAGCCCGAAAATGAACGAGTTTTTCTTTTGACCGCCTTGTATTTGTATTTGGTTTGATCAGAAAGGTGACTGACTGAGCTTTGCTGATATAATGTTTCTTTTGATTGCCTTGGTGTTTTGGGAAAGACTTCAATTGTAATTAAGTTCAAAGACCCTTCTAGCTAGTTGTTGAAGGAACAGATTATAGATCCTATTCTTATGTTATTTCTTTGTCTTCGCTTTCTGATCTAATAATGGCTGGAGAAGATTCACTCACATTATCTGGACTTGAGTGGAAACAAAAGTTTGAGTTGCAGCTAGTTTGAATAGAATGATTACCAAGGATTACATTATCTCCATCCTCAAAAATTGTGCCATCCCAAACTATATATACCTTGGTTTTAATACTCAATCCATAGATAAAACATCAATGCTGGTCAATAATGCTGGAAAAACAGGCATCAGAATGAATTCATTTCACTCTCAGGAAACTGAGTGCCTCCTGTTTCTGGAAGGTGTAGATTTGGCTTCTTCTGGTGTAGCAGAACCATTACTCTCAGAGGAGTCCGAGCCCCAATTATTTTCTCCCACACCCATTTTGCCAGTCCACAGTTTTATGAAGGACTTTTTTGACTTGAGCAACCCTTTCATCTTGCTCTTGACAACGTTGTCCGTGTTAGGTTTAGTATCATGATCTCCATCTTTGTCTCTGTTGGATAAACTTAAGGATGCAAGTTCCTTCCTTAATGCCTTCAGCTCCTCAGCTATGGCGACAGCATCTGAGTTATTATCCGTGTTATTTGCTGCTCCACTGTTTAGATACTTGATGTTCCCTTTCAGCATGTCAGGAGTGCTTGTGCCTGAAGTTGCAGCAGTCCTTACCTGCTCAAAATAGAGAGCCTGCACAACTACACGCATCGGTAGTCTTTCATTTTGCACTGCATGCATGCAGGCATCGATCGATAGCTTCTTGCAATCCATCAGCTTGCATATCCTATTTCTGTCAACTTTGCTGATTCCTGGGTGCCCCTGTTTCCAAATGCATTGAAATTGAAGTGATGCCTCAGTTATCTCCTCACGTTTTTCTAGATGACATTAAGAATAAAGGATAAATTGAAGTTTCCCTAGAAGTGGCTTGGCCTAAAAGTCAGTTTGCCATTCTTCCCTCCCATGATCTCCTCTGTTACCATTTGATCTCATTGTGTGTAACTTTTTTAGTCCAAAATTTTTCACAAATAAAGAATAACCATGTGACTATAAACAATGAGTACTTTTAATGTTGAAAAGCCTGCATTTGTCAAACATTTTCAATGAGACAAGAGAACCAGACTTTTTAACAAAGAAATCGTTTTCATCAGTTTAATATTTACGTCATAAATTCATGGTTGAGTGATCGTGCAGGGAAGACCATAAGATGGCAAAATGATATGCTTTCAACCACAAGGGGTGAGTACAATCCCTTAAACAGACATTTTGTAGGATTCTGACGTGCTAAAACATAACAGCATATGAGGGAATAGAATGCTGTACGATGTAATATTCAAATCCAAGCAACAAATTTTTTTTTTTTTTAATCTTTTCAGGAACAATTACCTTGAGATACATGTCAATGGCCCTGTAAAGTCCATCATGAGAAGGACGAGGTATGCCAGACACCAATTCAGCAAGATCAACAAACTTTGACAAAGGTAAATAAGGATCTTTTGAAATTTCAGCAAGGTATCCGTCAACAAATTCTGCAACCATCAACTTTGAAGCATCTGATAAAATCCCTGGCCTTGTTATCTCCTCGAGTCTCCTGATTCCAGCAGATTCAAGCTCAGCATTGTGATCCTGCATTAAAAATTCTGTAACGATTTTCTGTGCTATATCAACATCATACATGGTAGCCTCCCCATCAGGTGCTTGTATTAAAATATCACTAACAGAAGCCTCCTCCAATTGCCGCCCAATCCTCCTCACCAGCTCTTGTTTAGTCATATCTCCTAAATCTACAAAAATGGCAGCCTTCAATAACTTGAGCAAGAACCTACAAGAAACACTGCCTTTCTCATCAGGCAGTAGCCACACGATTGTTTCAACTATTAACTGATGCTTTGACACATCCCAATGGTGGATCAGGCCCTTGCTGAAATTAGGTAATCTTCTGTAGGCATAAGCTTTCAAAGCTTCTCCTATTACTTCACTAGATAGAATTTTCTTGTTCATTATATTGGTGATTACAGACTTGTATAAACCAACTTCAAGCTCACATAAATCTTCAACCCACCAGTCTGTTGGCACATGACGAGTTCTACCTTCATTCTGGTTTGGATCAATTCCATTTTCCCGAGGGAGTTTTGTCCTGTTATAGGAGTAGGACCAATCAACTTTGGATACATCAAGACACGCCTTACTTGCTATAGATTCAGTGCAATGACTGACAATCTTTAAGTCCTCAGCCGAAGGTAACATGGGATTTGATGTCTGAAGAACAATGATGGAATCCCTCCAACTATGAAAGATGCTAGAGCCGAGGAAAACATCAATCTTGTAAATGAGGTTCCCTTTCTCAATAGTCTCATGCATTCCAAGGTATTCTGCAGCACATCGAGCTGCAAATACATTGTAAGCATTGAGGGTAACAGTCATGCCATAGCAAAACTTGGCACACATCTCAAAGGCTGTAGCACCTCCAGGAATGTCAGAAATTTGAACTTCATGTCCAGTGTCTAAATTACTGGTGGTGACCAACTTCTGCAAGTGAGAACTCTTTGACAGAAGAGGGAACTACGTAGAAGGGTTTCAGTATATTAGTAAACAAGATGAAATATGGATCCAACCAGATTGATATGGTCATTTATAATAAAATAAGCCAACTTTCACCAAACTCAACAGTATGTTCCAAATGCTGATTGGGCCACCAAATTTTGAAGAAACCAAACTGCAATTTGAAACCTCATTCTGAATGAAGCTTAATAAATTGTTCATCTCAGGCTTTAACACTAGCACTAACAGAAGTCAAACAAAGATACTTAAATTTATCTTGATAGTGTTGCACCCATTAGGAAGGTTTTAGACACCATATAAAATCCGTTGATGAGGATGGTTACCCTAAATTGTTTGTGCAGAACACAAAGACTTAAATTTATCTTGATTACCCTTATGAAATACACAAAAAATTGGAGATAAAATAATAAAAAAGGAAAGAAATAAAAGGAGATAAAAGGAAAAACTTATTTATTTACAAGAATGAACTTGACGTAGAATTAGAGTTTAGATCTTATGCGATATGTAATAGTGATCAAAGTCCATGTAATTCATGATAAAAATGCATGTAATATTTTTCATTTCAACAAGTATTAGGAAAAGAGAACAAATATTGTGTTTTGGAACGGATTATGGGGGCTACAGGACAAAATACTACTTAAAAATTGGCTAGACTTTCTTATTTCGGAAACTTGAATTGTTTGCTAGGCTGAGATATACCTTGTGTAAATAAAATTTTATATCACCTACACTAACAATGATATCTGATGCCAAATCACTTGCCACAAACCTGCACAAGGAATGCATTCTGTTAAGAACTCTACTTTTGGTGTAAAAAAATAAAATAAAAATCAGACCTAGAAGAGGGCTGAATCTTTAAGTTATTTGGCTTTGTCAAATAGCAAATAGTTGAGTAGTTAAAGCGTTTCTCTTTTTCTCCTATATTCTAAAATGTAAAATTCAACACCAAAACAGGACAGGTTAAACACCATTTTAGCAGCTGCTAAAATAGAAGGGAGAAAAACAATGGTGGGATGATTATGAATTTGTTAGTTCATATGCCAAATTCCAAGAAAAGATTCTTGTTTCTTAGGTTGACATTAAACCACCATACAGAGGTCTACACATATATAATGCTCCACTCAATGCTTAATACCCTCCACTATGACCTAAGCTGAATCTATTTCCTACCCTATTCCTTGTCAATTACAGTTGCTTCAAGCAAACCAATCTAAGTTCACCAAATGATCTAAAGAATAGATACAGAAAGATGTATTACATTCACTTAAGTAAAGAGTTCGGTTAAGCCTATCCCACAAAATCCTATATATAAATAATTGTGAGTATCAGTAATGGTTTACCAGCTAAAAAATAATTGCCTAAAGGATTAATTGTAGCTCTGAATAACCATATTAGGCAAGCATTAATAACCATATTACCATTTCTAAGAAAAGCTTTATAATTCTTTTTGAACAGACGAGTATCAGCTAAGCTGACAAATTGGGCAAGCATTAAACGAAGGCCATAGATGTATAGCTGTTGGGCAAAAGCCCATGAACGATTTTATTTATGCATTTAATAATCCATAAATCTAACACTTATCTCCCTTTCATTTACGCCAATCAATTCGATCACCAAAAGAATTTAATGCTACCATCCATACAAAAAGAAAGGGAAGAATAAGAAGACCAAGAAAATGAAACCAGATTTTAGTTTAACATTGAATCAGAATATACTGTTGATATGAAAACTAAGTAGAAAGTGACGAAACAACTGTGCTTGAAGAAGGAAAATCAAGCTAATATTGAAGATGAGGAAAAACACCATGAAAGAGAACGTCAACATGCATAATCACCATAACGTACATGAAAGGAGTACAATATAATTCACCTAACATTGTTTCCATCAGTCTGGAAGGTATCTGGCCTCGAACCAAGTTTCATAAGCTTCATCTTAAGATCTCACCAACAACTCAAACAAAACTTCCCCCCCACTCAATTGTTAATTGCTAAATCCAGTAGGTCATGGCCACCCCACTAAAATCATCCCCAGGTCACACGCATAGTACCAGCCTGAGTTCTATAATAATTTTCCAGAAATGGAAAAGACTACCCCAGAAGTAGGGGTGGGGGCAGCTGACTAAGTGTATCCAAATCTCTTAAATATAAGAGAAAAGAGGGATTTCTAGCAGAGCAAGGATAGTTACTACAGAATCTTGACAGCGAACAAAGCAGAAGCTGAATCTTTAAGAGAGATAGACAAGATGGGATAGTCCATTTTTTATTCAAAGGTTCTCTTACATGGAAAGGGACCCTCAGAAGAGATTGTTTCCTTGTTTGGTGGCAAAGCCCACTGAGTCCGGGCACACCAAGTCAGCTAAGGAGGCATAACCAACAGAGAAGTAAAACTAAATAATTCTCTAAACTGAGACACCAACAGGCACAAATCTGACTCCAACTCACTTCCCCATAATTTTTTTATCTTTCACTTTCTAGTTACTCTGTTTCTTTGCCTCCTAGCCACCTTTAAAGCCAATAAAAATTCATACCAAGACCTACAGTGGCTTTAAAGCTTCAAGCTCCCAACCCAACATCATACAAATATTTATAGTTTTCCTTCCCTTTCACCGTTGAAGTTTGAAAACCAGCAACTGAGGACAGCACATCGGTATCCGTTGATAAATACACCAAAACGGTAGACAATGAGCATCTTCTGCAAAACATGGAATAAATGAAGAAGATCGTGAATATGGAGCTATCATGAAAAACCATCGAACAGCAATCACTTGCAGCCATATCAATAACAAATCTGAGCTGAAATCTCAGGAGATATTTTTCTTTTAGACGAAATAAATTATGAGGAATCTACCAGCACCGGGAATATATTGCCGGAATCAAGTAAAGCAATGAGGCAAGATCATGACTTCATGCTGTCTAGGGTGAATGAAACTATGAACCCCCCTTGCAGAAATAAGTTAAATCAGCAAACAAATAACATGACTAGTCCCAAAATTCACTCTCCGTGTAATTCCCAACAAAACCCAAAACCGATTCTTCAGATTGATAGAGAGATAAGTCACTGAATGCATTGTTCCAATTCCAGAAAGGGGAAAAAAATAGCGTCATCTTGTCAAAATTAGAGCTGATGAAAGCATAATCAAAAGGAAATATTTTTCAAACAAAAAATGCCATCCAAGAGCTTAAACCATCAAAAAGTAAATCACTAAATCGAGAGATGGAAAAAAGTTAAACAAGATGCTACCTAAGATCTTAATTGCAGTGCAAAAATCGTCTTGGTCATAGGCTTAAACAGATGAAGATCATTAAAGAAACAAAAAGTTCATGTAAAAAACTCATAAGAAGTGAGCCGTCGATCCCAGTTTCAGCATGTAAACTCCAAGAACACCGAGTTTCAGGAATCCAAAAGCATTTGCTTACTTAATGACAAACTTACAGGAAATGTTTTGCCAGTGTTGTCACCTTCTACATTGCCACTTCTGCTTTTGCTTGTCATCCTTTCCTACGATACTCTGGTACTGCATTTTCATCTAATTTTCGCCAGAAAGTATGCAAGAAACCATTCAATTTCGGGGCATTAGCCATCAAGAGACTCACCACGATGCTTCGTTGTGCACTCAAAACTGACAAACCTACAGCTTCTTTTCTGCTTTAGTAACGCCTTTTCCTATACTATATGAACTTCATTCACTGCTCTCGTCCTGATTAGACCGAACCCGCAGTCGAATACGTACTAATCTTGATCCCTTCACTTTCAAAAATTAATTAATGAATATGTAATTCAATTAAAAAGGATAGATTTTGTTTTCCGGAAACCATTTTAAAAATAATAAATGTAATGTAAAATTGTAAATTATTTTTTCTTAATTAAATTAAATGTATCTTTGATGTCAGTTCATGTATTATTAATTTTAGATAATAATTAAATCAAGTTAATATCGAGTTTGATTTTTTGTAAATGTAAAAAAACATTTTTAGAAAATTAAGTTTAATAATAAACGAATCTAACCAAGTAATTAAAAGTACAAATAGGCCGAGTCAAACAAGATCTTGACTATACAAAGTAAATAGATTAGATTTAGACATATTTTGTGTATAAGCTTTGAATATGATATTTATCCATCTATTTAAATTTTAATTGAGTATAATTAATTATTTTTATAATTAATTAATATATTTAATTTTATTTATAATTGATTATGTTGTAATACAATTTGTTTAGATATTATTTTTTTTAAATTAATTTTAGCTATACAAACTATAATAAAGGATATTATTTTTTAAAATTAAATTATTAATAAAGTTATATTTAATATTATTAAATTTGTTAAATTTCATTTAAGAAGTAAAATATATTATTTAATAATAAAATTGAATCTATAAACAATTTCTCTGAACTTATTTTAAAACATAATTCTGACTCAATAAATAATTATCAAAATTTTTAATTGTTTGGATAATTTTTTTAAAAATTAATTATTCAGTCCTAAAAATTGATTATACTTTCAATTCAAACAATCTGTATAAGCTTCAATCTGCATGTAAAAAAAAAGAAACACACACACACACACCCACACACCCACTCATATTTATATAAAAAGGAGTGAGTGGCAACAGTTAACATAATATAATATGAAGTCACAGCACGCACATCCATATTTATATAAAAAAGAGTGAGGGATAATGATTAACATATAATATAAAACAAAGTTTTTTGATCCTATAATTTTATTTATTTATAATTTAATCTTTAAATTTTAACTTGTTATAATCGATCATCATAGTTTTAACTTATTTTTAATTTAATTTTTAAATTTAATTCTTATAATTCAACCGCTCTAGTTTAACCATTTAAAATATCAATTTTTATATTTTAAAAAATAAAACTATAAAGATTAGAACTACTTAAAAAATTTAATCTTTATAATTTTTGTAAAGATTAAAAGAGTTTAGTAACTTAAGATATCAATCCTAAATTTTAACATAATTTTATTGGTTATAGTTTTATTTTTAAAATATAGGGACTATTATTTTAAATAGTTAAAACTATATAAATTGAATTGTAAGAATTAAAATTTAAAAACTGAATTACAATTAAGTTAAAACTATAAAGATTAAATAATTAATTTTTTTTAAAATAAATTAATAAAATTAATTTAAATTAATATAAACAAGTAGACTAAATAGGCCAAACTTTAAGCAAATAATCTTAACCATTTTTCCAAACAAGCCAAGCCAAATTATATTTCAACTAAATTAGGTTATAGGCTCTTGATCAGCTTAATCGCCTATTTCCACCAACAGGGTTGGGAATGTATGACAAACAAGACCATATGGATTGGCTCATTTGTGTTGAGAAAAATATAAACTGAGTTGGGTTTAATATATGTTTATATGAGTTGAAAAAAATTTAATCCTTTTGAATTGGTGTGCTAAAACTCTCTCTATTTGTTAATCTTTAATTTTTTTAAAAAATAATAAAATTAAATGAGTCAACCCTAATCTATTAAGGTTAGCTCATTTGGTTCAGGGTTATCTAATCTGAACAAAAAAAGATTCATTTTTATCTGGACCCTTACAAAAATTCTAACCCATTAAAGTTCATTATCAATAATATTGTAAGTCATGTAATTAAATGCAAAAAAGTTTGTTTCTTGTGATCCATACTACTCCCTTTGTTCAAAAATATAATGAATTTTTAATTGAATCTCATTCCTTAATAAAATAATTACCTACTTTCTAACTAACTCTATTTTTTTATATTTATCCCTATTAAACACCATACAATAAATATAAAGTTATTATCAATAGGGGTACTTTTAAAAAAAAGATAATGATTACATCTCGAAAGATTAAAAATGCTTACATTTTTAAATATTCAACTCCTTAAAGGGAGTATATTATAAGTCATAAAAAAAAAAACGTTTGTGATTTCTCGCGATCATTATTAGTCAATTTGTAACCCAGAAATTCAATTATTTAAAAAAAATTCTTTTCCTCCCTTTAAGATCCATGAGTTTTTACCCGCTTTCAAAAAGCAGACAATCCTTGCTGGTAAGAAAAGGAATCCCTCTTTATCCATGTTTAATCATTAATGTTTTCGAGAACCTCTATGGACCAAGTTGATTATCAGTCAGATCATGAATCTAATTTTTTTAATCTATTTCTTTTGAAAAAGGTTAAAATAATTATCATTTGATTACAAAATGACAACCAGTTCTCTGTGAAGTGAAGAAATCACATGGCTTATAACACTGGCCAATAAACAAAACTACCTAGCACTCATGAATGTAATTTTTTTAGGTGATATTATTGTACAATGGATGCCAAAATTCAAGTAAGTGAGTGTAGCACAAATGATAAAGATATGAACTTCTTACATATCATTCAAGAGTTTGATTTCTGAAAGTGCATGTGGAGAGCATCTTTTAGAAGAGAACAATCCCCTAAATGAAGCTCAATTTTTTTAAGAATCAATTCCATTATTATTGGTTGTGGGAATATATTAGAAAATAAAAAATAGATGCCAAAACTCATTATTCACTCGTAGCCACTAATTTAAAGCACTTATGACTCATTTGGTATGCTCAACTTGGAGTTGAAGAAGTGGGAGTGGAAGTCTAAAAATACATATTTGGTGTGTGCGAATTATGTTGTCTTGGTGTGACTCACTTTCACCAAAATTGATGAAACTCAATTCCGTCATACCCCTGAGAAGCTCGGTTCTATTAAATCCCTTCAAACTCTAACCTTCTACCTTCTCTCATCTTCCTGGATAAGACTATGACCCACCTCCTTACTTCTTTGATGGCTCCCATTGGCAATGACAATGGAGCTCGTGAGGATTGGGGTTGAAGACAATGACTATCATTTCTCAATGAACATTGAATCTAGCCAACAACATTGAAGGTGGGCGATGATTTTTCTTTCTTAAGTTCAATCTCAATGAACCTAGATCATGACAAATTGAAAGATTTATGCCATCTTCATATTAACATGTGAACTACACCTATTATCTAGATCTAAGGCCTCATTGAGGTTAAGTCTCAATGAACTACCTCCATAACTTTCGTGCATTGCCTCCTCCTTCTAAGTTTTCACTAAGGGTGTTTAGCTTGCACCCATCCTAATTGACCTAACATCGTCTCGATCATCGGGACGTGGCTTTGCAAATAAGACAAGAGAAGGGTTTGGAATGGAATAGGATACGAGATTACCATCGGAACATCCTGTATCATCCCGAATATATATATATTATTTTTTATTTTAAAAATATACATTAAATATTATTATTATATTAATACAATTTATACTTATATTAATTATATCGATTATAATTTCAATACTTGCAATTCTTATATAAAACTAAAGTTTTTTATATAATAACTTTAATGACATAGAGTAAACATGACGATATCTTTCTTTATAATATATTAATTATATTAACACAATTTATTCTTATATCTATTTATTTAATAACTTTTATTTATATCATATTTCTTCTTTTATTTTAAAAGAGTAATTAACTTAGTACATCTCAACTAAAATAAACGAATAATGATTTGATATTATGTTTGGCTTATATATTGTTGTTGTTTTTATAGTCTACCTATCATTTATAATTGTTATCATAATGTTTGGTTGTGATTAACGTAATTTAATAATTGACTTTAAATTATTATAATTTATGTACTTATGTTATTTTGATTTTAAACTTAATAAATTATATAATTTAAATTTTAATGAATATTATTATTTAATTTTTTTTTTGACATTGTCCGATTTATCATGATTGCAAGACATTCCGATTTCATCTTGTCTTGATTCTTAATAAGACGAGATACGGGATAAAAATTTAATCCCGATCTTTTTTGGAGATAGGACACAAGATAGGGGTGTCCTGATCCCATCTCGTCTCATGAACACATCTAGTTTTCACTATGTGCTCGTTACAAACACTTCTTAAGCATCTCATTATTATTATTATTATTATTTGTCTCATCACAGGCTTCCTGTCCTCTAACCAAGCCCTTCCTCTTCTTCAAATGGAGTTCGATCTGTGCCACAATTTCTATCTTTGATTTCCTCTTCAATTTCTGGATCGAACATTAAATCCATTTTCGATTGTGGTCTTTGATTTATGTCTTTAATTCAATTTAGATTTTTTATTGTTGCATTGGATGTTTTTGAATGTTGTGCTGATGGTTTTTGTTCTTTCAATTGTTGGATTTGATGGAAGTTGTTTTCTTCTTCATAGTTGTTTACTGTGGTTTCGAGGTAATTTTATATTATAAATACATGTTCTAATTAAAAAACTATACCCCACTTCAATGTGCATACCAAATATGTCTAAAAATTAAAATCTCATTTCTTCTTCCTCCTCCACTTCCTTTTCCAGTTTCACTTGTTATCAAATGATCCGTTAGATTCATTAATGAATAGTGTCAGCTAATTAAATATAATGTCGATTATGTTTTCATTTCACTAAACGATAGTTAGAATAAACCATTTCAAGTTGCTACTTGCCACTGACAAGGAATATTTTTTCCATCTTTCCATTCAAATGCTGAACTCATGCTTAAGAAATATGGGCTGTAGATATTTTCCCAAACAACATAATTTGGGCTTAATTATAGCCCATAACACCGAGGAACAGACACTTATTTTCGGATTTTT